CAGCCAATCTATACAGGTTGGCCTCCAAGTCATGATTAGGATTGGCATGCCTGCTTTCCAAATATGGCTTGATGTATAGCAAGCGGAGTAATGTTGGAGGTGGTAGGAGATAAATACCTTTTTGCATGAAGGCGCTGCAGCCACTTTATACAGGTTTACCTTCAAGTCACAAAAAGAGTTTGGCACACGCATGCTTCAAGTGTAGCGAAAATATCTTATAAGTGGAGTTCGTATTGGTTTTTTTAATAGTACTGGAATATAACCTTATACAATAGACCTACATTGTCAGAGGAGTGAGCGAGAAACTTTCGTTGTTGTCACCAGCTTGTGTTGCGGGGGTAACTAGAATCCCTGATCATTATATATTATCCTACTAAGTTCTCCAATCACCAGCATGACACCTGCAACTAACCTAGCTTATTGCTAGTTGCATTGGTGTTGGCTGCCATTTTACTTTAGATATTGTAGGGTGCAACTCCTTAGGTACTTTTGGATAATAATAGTTGTACAGAGGTTTCTTGGGTGTATCTAGTCTAACCGCCGATCGGTAAACAACACCGGGTTTGGTAATGATGACTATATTGATCTTTTGGAGGGGGTAAGCCATCCATCTTTTTTCTGAGAAGCTATAGAAGAGAGAAAAATTCCTAAAGCCCATGTCCTAAGAAGGGTTACCACTTCTTGATATGGTCCTTAAGAAAAGGAAGTCAACTGGCCAGAGGAGTGATATTATGGAGATGGAGTTTTTAAAAGAGAGAGAGGTCTAGGGAGGAAAACCTTCAAGGAAAAGGGAAAAACCTAGCTTTGGCAAGAAAAAAAGGGGAAAGAGGAAAGGAGGTGTAAAAGTAAAAAAGTGAGTATATAGAAGAGAGGAGAGAGAATAGGAGAAGGGAAATAAAGAGGTATGGGGAGGGGGCATAGAGAAAAAAGAAAGGGGAAGACGAAGAAAAAGTAAACAACTCAAAAATTTCCTAAAAAGGAAAATTTCAAGCATAGAAGAGGAAGTGGGAAAGAGTTTTTTTAAACAATAATTTTTTATTAATATTTTAATAGAATTATTAATATTAATTTATATTAAATAAATCTAGTAATAATAATAATAATTTAAAACAATCAATAATTGTTTAAAATTAATATAATAATCTAAATAATAATAAGTTTATTATTAATATAATAAATATATATACGGTATATGATTTATTATTATTATTGTTTTTTTTTTTAATATGAGTTTTTAAAATTATGTATACATTGTAAAGATTATTAATGAAATAAAAAATATTATTGTTTAAATAAAATCAAATATTTAATACTTGTTTGTAAATAAATACTAGATGAATAATATTATATTTATATAATTTTTATAAATAGTAACTTTGTAAATAAAACTTGTTCCCAAGATATTAAAGAACATATAGTATTTATCAAGTATTGTTTGATTTAAATAATTATATCAATGTCATTTCTTTGAACACCGCTGTATTTCAATAATATATTCTATGTATTTCTTCTAGCATACAAACAAACAAAATAAATTAAATTTGTGACTCGCCATATAAATTATGGATAATGTTGATATATTAAATATTATAGTTTTTAAAAATGGATAAGATGATTATAGGGCTTATGAGGTGTCAACCAAATGTTTGATTACGTAAGCGCAAATAATCTTGAAACAGGGGCGCACTGCGGACTGTGGACTTTCAGTACGGTACAAAGAAAAAAAAAGTTTGTAGGCACGTTTGTAAACAGTCGATACAAAGCTCGATAGCAAATTTTTTTTTGTCGGACGTCGTGAAAATTTTGGCACAACATATAGCCGAAAATTTTTTGTGGCGTTACCACATTCGCATTCACCGTTATTCTATTAGTACGTTCCTGAAACGAACATCAGAATGGGTAACATAAAATAGTATAAATGTGAAGACTCAACTTGAAACGGATCTTGTATTTGTATTTTACTATTCAGAACACCGAATCTGATTAAGTTGCCGGCGCCTCCTAGTCATGTCATTTTGATCACCCATATTGTGTCATACAAAAGCCACGTTCATTGTTATGTCGTACGAAGTGTACGAAATACCCGTATATCTATGGTACGTAGGTATGTGCGCTGTTGAAAGTTTTGGGTTTTCCCCCGCAGCCGGATAGAAATACCAAACGTGGTTTTCAAGCGAAGGCTTTTAACGTCAAACGGAAACGCCAGTTATCAGTTAAACATTGGAAACGTTCGTATATAAAGGAAAGAATTATTAACCCTTTTTATCCTAATTTTCTATTTATGGATGTGAGCACATCAGGTCCTCACCCATCTAATAATTACTGATCACATTTTTATTTTATTGTACGTACGTCTATGAGATATTCTCCGATGTGTATGTGTGTGTGCATGTGTGGTGGGCGGTTAGACCAATTACAATTGGTCACCAAAAGTTTCAAGCCTAAAAAGATTTTTTTTATGTTCAGTATGAGAGGTTATGTATATTATATTGAATGCACCACAAATTAAAAATTTCATATAACCGTCATGGGTCATGACTGCAATAAAAAAATGTGTGTATGATATAATAATGTGAATTTTTGGGGAAATAAGGATCAAGTGAGTAAACAAGAACACAATCATACAACTACTAGTTTGCTGCAGAACATTAATTCTATTTTCTTACAGCGGTGGATGTTACAACAACTACATTAATGTTTTGTTCCCTATGTCTATATTTTTTCCGTTTCTGTACTTTACTGGTGTACATCATTATTTATATCTTCAGGTGTTAGGTGAAAATAGAAAGTCTAGACAATTGGGTACACCGTGTATAGTATGTATGCGTGTACCAAAAAAAAATATCCGACGCGTGGTGCTTAGATCTGTATTCATCATTCATTTGTTTATTCTAAAAATTTAATGCATCACATTTTCATCACAATTCAAACATCTGATGACACTGATTATCATCACTTATTCACGCATGACATCAATGCCTAAAATTTCTGGGTGAATGAATGCGCAATTTTCGGCCCAGAAATTGAAAGGGTTTCTCCGTTGAGACCTGCGGGTAAGTTATTTTACGACACGTCTGACCTCGTGATCGCTTTACGGATTTATCGGGAAGCATCTCAAAGTGATGAGTGGTGGTTCAATCAGTTTTTCTCACGTTCTTTGCGGCTAGCATTGTCCCGACAAATACCGCAATTTCAGAAACATTTTCCGGAGAGGTCGGAAGAGAAGAGTCCGTGTATTCTTGTTCGGGTGCCTCGACTGTGTGTCACGTAGCCTAAACGAGTCTTCCAGTCGTTTATTTATTTAATCTGTATTTATTTGGTGGATTGGTGGATCGCTGGGGTAAAAGTGATCGAAATCTCGTGGTTAATTCCATAAAGTTTTTTTGGGCGCGTGCTCAAAACAAAACAGAGGTTACTTTTAAGGTTCAGGGACACATTTCTTCATTTAACTCTCTTTGGGTGGGGTACCTTTAGATTTTTTAACGCATTATATTTGCATCACTTTACGTTATTTTCTTTTTATCGTCATTGTTATTTTTCGGGCGGAAGTCGCCGATTACTATCATCACGAACTTACCACGTTCATCTTTGGCATTCTTCATCGAACTCCGGAGTTGGTTTCGCACCAATAGTAACGGCCGCCTGTTGCTAACGTTATTGCATGACGTAATGCCAAAGCGAAAAAAAGTTCAATTAATCCTGATTTGTACAAATAAGACAAGTTGATTTGGGAGCGCACATGTTATTTGGTGCGTTGGCAATTGAGTTGACGCGAAGGTGGGTTCCCTTATAGGAATTTTTTTTGCGTCGCTTGATCGATCATGTATCGTGAAGACTTGTTTGTTTATCTTCACCTTTCACTGGTTACCAAAAAGCTTATCACAACACATTTTAATAATCATTTGATGGGAAACCCCTTCGCAAAAGAAAGCGGTGATTCGCCACTTCTCTTGGTGAGAGTCTTGGCGCACTTGATCTGCAAGTGTCGTAGTGATTTTTCATTTGAGCATGGATCTGAGTGCCAAATTAGCAGAAAGAGAAGGTTCGATGATTACTAAATCGAATGACTTCGATATTGTTGTTAATTTGATCCCTAGTTTTAAAACTTGAAACAGTGGAATTGTGGAACCGTGAGGAGCTCTCTTTTTTTCTGGTTTTTTTTTTTTTTTTGCTTTGGTTTGGTTATCACGGTGATGAGGTTCACCTATCAATTGTCAAATCGATTGATCAATATTTCAATTGTCCCTTATTAATATAATAACCAGATATATTGTATGTACTTTTATATATGTTCGTTACTAGTGAGGCATGTGAAAAATCCGTTTGCGTAGAAATTGTTACAAAATAATCAGATGATTGTATATTTTTTATTGTAAGTGTTTTTTCTTTCGTAATCTCTTCAATCTGAATGGCCATCGCGTTTGAGCTTCCAGAGAGAGAGAAACAAAAAAGTTTATCGGATGCCACGCACATCTTAACTTTATATGGATCATTTTAATCTGTAAATCTTATCACCAGTGGGTTTAAGCGCATTTTAAAGTGTATCCAAATCTTTCTCATCTTACTTTACTTCCGCTGAAACAATATTGACGGTCATTGTGTTCCGCTCTCTTTTGAATTCTTTGTGCATTTTTAAGTTTGTATTTTTTTTTATTTCGTCGATGCTTGTTTATTTTTTCGGAAAAGCGTTGCTCCTTGTAATGTCGATTAACGTAAGTTAGTATTTGCTCGATAGTGTAAACAGGTGATAATGTTTAGACTGGATTTTCTTCTTAATCGTAACCTGATAACTGGTAAAAAAACCAGTCAACCATTTTTAATAAAGCATATAATACATGTGTAAACAACTTTCTCTCTTATCACAAAAAAGTTATTGAGATTTCTTCCCGTTCGGGTAAATAAGCAGCTCACAAGCACTCCTGTTATTTTCCGTACGCATTCGACATCTTGTTTATTTATACATCATATTGTAAACACAACATAAATATATAAATACACATTTCAAAATACGGGTAGCCTGACTTGGCACTTATTTATATACATCAAGTTCACAAACTTAGTTTTTTTGCCCGCACCTCTTTTTTTTTTTTTTTCTTGTATAAAAAAAAAAATTACCGTCAGACCGAAGACGAGCCCAAATTTTCTTGCTACGTGTACCTCTCTTCACGCTGTCACCGTCTTGGGTAAGTTGATCTCCAAAGGGATTTTCACCTATCCTCTTCTATCTTCATTTTTTTTTTCTTTCGGAATACTGGAATTCAGTTAGACTATGTAATCGTGGTTTCTTTCTCCTCTTTTCTTCTTTCTGCGAGAAACCTTTCTTTTTCAAACGCGTGTTGGAAATTTTTTCTGACCGTGGTTACGGTATTACATAGAGTTGGCGTGAAAAATGAATAAAACAAATCACCTACATTCCGTTCCGTTCCGTTTTTTTTTTTTTTTTCTTTGAGAATCTGCTTTGCTTGCTGGCGTGGAACATATCGATCCCTCACCTTTCCCACCCGGCAAGTGGAAAAACTTATATGTCGTGGACGTAACCAAAAAAAAGCAACAAAAATATGCGCATATGCTTGTGTCATATTTATTGTTTATTTGTACGTTTCACTTGACCCAAAACAACAGTTGTTCCATTTTCGTTCGTCTTTTTCCTCATTGTCCCTATTCACTTCCTTCCGCCTTTATTTAAGTGTAATCGTGTAAAAATAAAGGCGGATCTTATGTGATACATAGTTCATAAACAAGCAAAAACACATTCTTTTTTTACTTCCTTCCAGTCCACGGGACTAATATTTCATTCTTTTTTTTTTTTTTTTTCATTACTTTCATTTACCACTCGTCCATCTCTAGGTGAAGAAAATCTAGTTGCGCTGAAGCATATACGACTCCTATTTCTAACCACCAAGAAATGTCGCTAGAGCATACCAGCGTTACCGCTCTTTCACCCACGGGCAATCTGTTCCCTCATAATTTGTTCCCAAGGGAATTTAACACATCATCTTATAAGTCAATGCAAATGATGGATACGAGAGCCCAGACTTATCTAATATCGCTTAGTAACATTCCTCCATCATCACTATCGGAGAACCAACAAGATATTCGTCGTGTACAACGGCAACGTCAAATTTTAACCGGATCTCATATATTGAATGTTCCACATTCTCAACACTCATCTGTCGATGTTAATCGTGATAGACTTGGTGACAGGCACTCAAGTCGTGGTTCACACGAGCTCGAACGAAACGGTTCATTGGATTTGCTGGTCGACTCGGCTGTGAATTTAGGAGATTCGGATTATTTAAATACTGGGGTGTGTAGATTATCGCTTATATGTAATTGTGTAATTTCCCACAAATAACAAACAAACATTGTTTGTTTCCCATAAACATAACATCAATATTATTACAAATAATTATAATTAATTGTTAATAGTATTATTATTTTTATTATTCATTGGGATTATGTACTAATTATTTGTAAGATAATTTACAATTCTCATACCTATCATTTTCTTTTGTGAAACTCTTAGATCACGGCCAACTCGAGTCCACCGACTTCTGAGGTTGATATTGTAAGCTTTCGAAAAACACCAGTGGCGATTATTCTTTTCATCTCTCACTTTTAGTTCACTGATCTAATGTTTCTACCGATGCAAATGTAGAAATTGGAACAAAAACGATTGGAGCACGAACGTCAACGCAAAGAGCAGCGCAAATTATTTGAAGCCCAAATGAAGATTCTTGAACTTCAACAACTCAGGGAAGAGCAGGATCTGCTTGAGAAACATCATTCCAATTGTGCCAGCTCTAATAGTGCACCAAATACTCCTCCTTCGTTGGCATCAAATGATACCCGCGCTCGGTCAAACACTATACCGAGGTTAAATTCTCCAAAAGTAAATGATTCTCAGAATCCTACCCGATTTGACCCTGTTCATTCCGCATCATTCGGTCAAAACGTCCATCAGAGCTCTCAGGTGTCATCTCGTTCGGTCCCAAGTTCGCGGCGTAACTCCAACGAAATTCCGGAAAAACCCGTACTGCCCGAGATGGAAAACTTGTGCCTTAACACGAAAAACGAAAATCCTGATAATATGGAGTACGTTGAAGGTTTTTCAAATATAATGTTTGCGTGCTGATCATTTGCAAAATCTTTGTGTCGATGTTGCTTAAAATTTTTTGTTTCCCCTCGTACAGAAAAGATTTCATGCGTACCACGAACTTGATCTCGAATGTAAACTCGCACCTGATGACCGGATCAAATGCAGTTAACGCGTCTAATAATGATACATCGTTTCCGCCGTTCAACGGAAACTTTTTGCTTGATGATGACGGTGAATCTCCCACAACGGGTTTGAACGGTGAGTCTCCTTATCGAAATGTTGATTTGCTGCACAAAAGTTGTCTAATCCGTCGTTTTCGCAAACTCGAAATTAGCGAATCCTTCGTCGTTGTATATCAATCATTATCTCCAGATGCATTCGGACGATGACAAGTTTCCGATATTGGTCCGTCGTGATAGTTATCCGGGCATGGTTGGTTTACCATCTTTTTTTTTTTAAAAAAATTTTTTTTTTTGAGATTTCATTTCATGTTGAGTTCATTTTGGTTGATTAGTTATCGGCATCTTCCGCTGCCCTTGACCTGGCTCCTTTACCGCAAACACCCTCGCGTCATCGGGGTTTAGACTCTATTCGTAACGCTGATTGGACGCATGATGATTTGTCCGAAGACCATCGTGAATCACGTGGTCATATGGCACCTTTATTCCCAGAGAGTCAAGTATCCTGCAACAAGAAACCAGTCGTTACTTCCGCGTCTGGTGTTGTGACCCCGGGAGTCAGTGAACCAAATGGGTTGATGTATGTTAATGATCGAAAAAATTTGGATAATTTGATAGGCGACAATCCATCATGCGTCAAGTCCAGGGCACCAAAACTTTCGACCTCATATTCAACTCCGGATTTAGCTAGCGCAACCCGATTGTTCGGTCACCGTTCTTCTGTGATCGGTTGTCAGACGGTGGGCGAGGTGCTTGTTGAACTCGATAATCCGATGACACAAGCTAATCAGATGCAAAACACCAATGATTCTGGTAGTGGCATATGCAGATTCTTTCAACAAGGATTGTGTACTCGAGGTGAAAGATGTCAGTACGCTCATACTCATGCTTATGGTGGAATGTCGTCAATGAACGTGGGCCTTACAACTCAGATGGGCGCCTATCCAGGAGTTGTTCCGCCGGCTAGCAATAACAATAATAATAATAATAATAACAGCAATGCATCAACTTTCTATGGTCAATATAATATGACTGGTAGGGGTGGGATCAACATGTTACCAGGGGTTTCCGGATTTGGATATAGTCAGAATCTTGCCAACAACGTTTCCACAATTAACTCTAATAATAATATACGATCTCTTATGCAAAACAATAACTTGGTCCTTTCTAAAATGAATCAAAAGCGATTGAGCGCTGATCTTGAGGGTGAGTGGGGGGGAAGTTTAGGCGAGGTTGAGTCTGTTAAAGATTGCAAATCGTTGATACCCTAACGTTGATATGATATTTCTTTAAATAGTTAACAGGTTTTCCGGTGTGTTGCTGGAGGATTTGGTCGGTGAAATATACTCCCTTTGTAAGGATCAACATGGATGCCGTTATTTGCAAAAGAAGCTCGAGGAAAAGAATGATCAATACCTTAGCATAATTTTCAATGAGGTTTTCAGTCACTTTGTAGAACTTATGACAGGTTTGTGTTCATCAGTCGACTATGGGGTTTTATATTATTAATTATTCGCGCATCTTGAGCTCACGAGATTATTTGTTTAGATCCATTCGGCAACTATCTTTGTCAAAAACTCCTTGAATACTGTAACGACGACCAACGCACAATTATCATTGAGACCGTCGCTCCGGAACTGGTGAATATTTCGCTTAACATGCACGGTACTCGTGCAGTTCAGAAGATGATTGAATTTTTATCGACGCCGAAGCAGGTTGGTCCTTTGGTTTTTTTTTATGTGCTGTCATGTGGGAGAGGTCCTTTTTATTGATCCTCTTGATGAATGGAAAAATTTAGGTTCGTACGGTAATCGTGGCTTTAAACCATAACGTCGTGACCTTGATTAAAGATTTGAATGGCAATCATGTTATCCAAAAATGTTTGCATCGGTTAAGTTCCGAGGATAATCAGGTAAATCTCAAATTTTTTACGGTCTGCGTTCTTCATAATCAAAAGCTCAAGAGAATTTCAGAATAATAATAATAATAATAATCCAACAGTTTGTATACAACGCTGTCAGTAAAAATTGCGTTGAAGTTGCGACGCACCGCCACGGCTGTTGCGTGCTTCAAAGATGCATAGATCACGCCAGCGAATCACAAAAGATTCAGCTTGTAACTGAAATCACATTCAATGCGCTTACATTGGTTCAAGTAAGTATTACGTGTGACGTTTTTCATCTCCACCGTTATTTGCATGATACGACACATGCTGAACTCGATCTTTCTTTTTGCCTGCCTAGGATCCTTTTGGTAACTATGTGGTTCAGTACGTCTTGGACCTTGGCGACAGTCGTTTTAAGGATGCGTTGATTCGAAAGTTTATTGGCAATGTGTGCTTGCTATCTGTGCAAAAGTTCAGTTCTAACGTCATGGAAAAAGTTGGTACCCGTTTATATTTGATCTTTGCTCATTATTTACCGGAAATTTTTGCACGCGATTCTTAACCTTGAATGTTCCCTGTCCAGTGCATCAGAGTTTCCGAGCCGGAAACGCGCAAATTGTTAATTGACGAAATGCTCAACATGAATCGACTCGACAAGTTATTGCGCGACTCGTATGCAAACTACGTTGTCCAAACATCTCTCGATTATGCGGACCCCGTGCAGCGTGCTCAAGTATGGTTTTGCTTATTTTGAATCCTATTGTTTATTGTCTTTTGAAAAAAATTTTTTTTTTTATTTAAAGATATTCCGCTTTTGTAATAGCTTGTGGATTGCATCCGACCTCTTTTACCGGCCATTCGCAATACGCCGTACGGAAAGCGCATCCAAGGAAAGCTTCACCGCGAACAGATGCAAGCCTTAAATACGATCAACAGCCTTAACATGAACAATATGAACATACTTAGACTTCCATTTAACAGTTTGGGAAATTTCAATATGGTTGGCTTGAATGATTTTACACGAGGTTATCCATATTTGTAAGAAAAAAGTTTTTCTTTTTTTGCTTCTTTTTTTTTTAATATATTTTTTGAGGGATGGGAAATGAGTGCGGTGTGTTTCTACTATATTTCATTCTCGCATTTCTTTGCGAACTACTTTTTAGACGCGTGGAGGAGCAATTCCGTATCTGTGTATCATACAACAAATTCGCCTCCATTGTTTATATTATACAAAAAAAAAAAAAAAAAAATAATGTATTTTTGTTCCCTTGTTAAAATCCTTTTTCCCCCATTGTAGTGATAGTTTATGTATTATCCGTCACGCGAAAACAAAATATTGGCATGAAAAAGATTAAGAGTTATATAAATTTCAAATCATTAGCTTTCATTCATATTCTTATATTCTTCTGTTTGTATTCACTTTTTTTTTTTGTTTTTTTTTTTTTTTTATCCCCCTTTTATCCTCACCTGTAGAAAGCCCTCTATATTTGCTTCGATTATTCGTATTTTTTTTTTTTTCCTTTGAACACAAATGCTGACACGTTTGCATGCAATATAGTTTTTCGGAACATATGTTTCTATTCTATGTTCTGCAACCTTTCTTTAATGTATTTATAAAAACAACACTACCATATACCCATTTTCAAAATTTACCAAGTGCGCATTACCACGAGTAACGATGCGTACTTTTAATTTCATTTTTTTCACGTTGTACTTTATTTCTTTATCTTCATTATATAAAATTTTCTTTGTATGTTTTTTTTTATCACTACTAGTATAGTTTACTCTGTTTTGCTTGGGAATCACTGCAAAAATATATCTATCTATCTTGGTGGTTTTAATTCGTTCATGACACGTTCTCAACAAAAAAAAAAAACTTGAAATCAAAATATTAATAAAAAAGTAATTTGAAAATATTTAAAAAAATACAGTTTCGACAAACCTCTTAATGCAACTCTACTTTATTAAATTTTCATGTCACGTAAAGTTGTGTGAATATCTTGAAAGAGATGCTTGATGATTGTTTTATTAAGAATTTTTTCTATTAATAATTATACATACTAAAAAAAGCTATAAACAAGAGAAATTTTGTTGCACTATTATATATAAATATATACTATCTTTCAAAAAAAAAAGTAAAATTACACAAAGTGATTATTCCATATACGAAGCAATCATGAACCTCCTAATTTAAAAGACTCGATTGTGATCTAACCAGAGAGTGTCACCAATCCGGGACGTGATTTGTGTGAAAACGACTCCATGGAGCGTTGTCTTATACCACCTGAACAAGGTAACATCGTGTCACCCATCAAATAGTGATCTACTTCCCTCGCTGCTTGTCTGCCCTCATTGATACCCCACACGATCAAACT